GCACACACACAATACACGTACTCACGCGGTCACGCTAAGATGCTAGAGCATGCACGCACACAATGCACGTAGAGCACTCACACACACATGCACGTCCAGGCACACGCACGGCTAGCACATCTCGGCATCTCGCACACCCAGGTGCTAGAGCACGCATGCACACATCACACACAGAGCACTCACGCAGTCACGCACACAAGTACGCCCAGGCACACATCTGTTGGCCGTCCGGCTCGAGCGCTACATGCTGTTCACGGAGCCCACGAATGGTCGCCGGTTCGAATCCGGCAGCCTTCAAATTTTTAGTTGGTCTATTTATTTGTTTAAGCCGACGAAAATTTTCAAACAAGTCCCGCTTCGGCAATGTAAATTACGAACGGAAAAAAAACCTCTCATACGAGCCCATTTTCTGTAAAATAATTGGGTATTTATGTAATTACTTACAAAGTAAGGGAGATTTTTGCAAAAAACATGCCACCTCAGCACCTGACTAGCGGGCCCTGCCAGTCAGATACACCGTCAATGCATGTTTATACGTTGTTTAGACCTTTTTGTAACGATTAGCCCCAGACTTGGTACTGACATATAAAAATTACCAAAAGTGGTACCAATCCGCATGTAATGTCCCAATTGTGGTACTTTTGTGCAATGAGATATAGAGAGAACAAGCCCAAGCCCCGCGCAAGAATAAGGATGGCGCTACGCGTTATCCGACTGCGTCCCCACCGCAGATCAACTCCAATCATACGTCCCTATGCGTTCCCCTTATCCGCACACTGATGATGTTTCCGAAACATGGGCGGCGTTCCAAACCTCCTCCGGCTTCCATCAATAGCTTATCTGCAACATCGAAACTATTCTCGTAGTTGTACCGATGTTGCAATCCCGGGCAAGCTCTGCATCACCAACATTGTTCGCACTGGCCACAAGTTCGTGCCATGACAACATGGCCAGGAGGTCAGAAGCCGACGAACCATGGGTGGTCGACGACGCCGGGCGAGAGAAAGGGGGGGGTGAAAATGATTTGTGTGGAGGGAGTGGATAAGAACGAAGGGATTTAATTTTAAGGGCATCACTCTCCCTACTTTCGGCCGGGCCAAATTTGTGGCGTCGGCTCAGCAAGTCACGCACTAGTACGATTTGCGAGCGATGTTGGCCAGCACGGCGAATGCCGGTGGTAATATTTTTCTATATTGTGAGAGAGAGACATAATTTTTAAAATATGTTAGTGAAGTCTAAACATTTTGAATTTTTATGGTGTGCTCATCTGACCTTTAAAGGATATAATTAAACTATTAGTGTTACACACTAGCTTTGCTTACAAATTGAAGCATATCGTCCCAGGACCGTATTTTCCAACTTAAATTGGTGTGTTGAGGCAAACTCATTGGTTTATATCATTTGGACTTGACATGTTACAAAATTTTCTAGGCAAATGTTAAAAACACTCAAACACTTTTTAACTTGGATATGAATCCTGGTCTTTTGGCATTCATTTTAATTGATGGGCAAATTATAAATAAATTTGAGTGCATTAGTGGTGTGGACACCATATTCAATGTCACTAGTAAATATAGTTTATGCCCAACACCAGCAGTAAATTATGTTAATGGTGTTGGGAAATGTGCGGGTCACCGTCGTTCTGGAGGACAATGACCATGAGAAGATGGTGGATGTTGGCAATGACGAAGTGGTCAAGATGGAGGATACTGGCAATGATGAAGCAATCGACATGGTGGTGAGGGCTCCTGAACCAGACTGCCCTACAATGCCCTTGGAGGTCAATGATCCTCATGGCTACCACCGCTCCAAGTGCCTCCAAGCTTGCCGCTGCTAGGCTCTCTCTGTTGCTTGTTGGTTTGCATTGGATTTGAATATATGTAAGTGGATTAACCCCACCCCCGTCCCCCTCCCGCGTTAGTGAAAAATCCTATGCAATCTCATTCAAACCGCTCAAATCCCTAATCAGATATGCTTAGTTTCATCCCAAATTGAAGCCTACAAGTAGATTTGATGCCTAAATCAAGGCCGAACGGTATGATCGATGCGTAAATCGATATAATCGGGGACAGAGGACTTACCGCCATTGACAAATACATGCCTAAGGAGTAATGAAGCCGGTACTCGTCGTCCAGATCTTGGCACCAATACTCACCGCCGCTGCTCGCTATTCAGGTCTTGTGGTCGTCGCCGCCAGTGAGAGAGGGGAGAGTGAGCGGTGAGAGAAGGGTGAGTAAATTTATGGCGCCACTCCAGGAAACAACGCACCGTCTCCCGCGCGTGCAACTGCATCCACCCACGTGCCTAGAGTTTCATTGTCAGGGACTGGCTCTGGAATACGGCCAATTTAAGAGTTCCTCCAGAAGCCAAGGCCAAAGATGCTTTAAGGTTTTGTGTGGATCAAGATTCAGGTGCAACTCAAGCAACCAAACAAGCCAAAATTGCATCCAATCGGCCTGACCGAGGCTAATGTAGTCTGCCAAACGCATCCTAGGAGAGGCTGAGTTGAATTGGCTGACAATTTTCAATTGCTTGTATAGTGATGGTTTTTAGTGGTTCAAGTCTTTTTTTTTCTTTGCGTGGATATGTTTATAGTAGTTAAAGTTATGCATGAACTCGGTATAATATTACAGGACAAATTGGAAATCGCTGATCAGACTAACAAATTTCAGTGACTGAGGTTATAAAGAACCGTGTGACAAAAACATTTGTTGTTCCATGAGTAATGTAGTGGAGTATATGTGAATGTGATGTGAGAAAAAGAAAACTTGTTGCTGCACGCTGTGGAACCCTTTGCTTAGCATGAGAGGCAATGCATGAGCCAAGCCCCTTTTATGGTAGCGACAGCACTAGTGGAAGACTTCTTTTTCTGCATAGGTTCGGTCGTCGTACTGCAGATTCCAAAGCCATCGTCGTAGTACTGTGGTCTTTTCCAAGTCAGTCGTGCTCCTTTCCAAGCCATTTCTATCAAAAGTTTGATACCGTCAGAATCATTCACACAAGCATCCTCTCACTGTCACTGAAAACCCAGCATAAAACGGATTAATTCGTGGTACGTACTACTACCACGAGTGAGCGATGAAATTTCAACGTCTACCGTTCGAAATTGCAATGAAACTACTTTGTGCACGACGGTTGGTGGTCGATTTATGCACGATCCATAATCGGACACTGTTGCATATGCTGCTTCCTCACACCAACGGTGTGATTAACAACATTGCGCATACATCGGCTAGACGACGTCGTGTGTATAGAAGGTCTCAAAATTTCAATGTTGCCATGTCCGTGTGTGTGTGTGTTTTTGAGAGAGAGAGGGAGAGAGAGAGAGAGAGTATGTGTGTGTGTGTGTGTGTGTGTGTGTGTGTGGAGCATACACTAAGGGTATCAAGATATTATTCATATCACGACTTGGTGAACCCTCCTAATTTTAGACATATCAAATAAACAGGAAAATATGGGGGAAATAATCAAGATAAAAAATTCATTTATATTTTTCCATTTATAAATGTTTCTCATTATACAAAAACAAAATGTGAATTAACTGAAAAAGGGTACGTCTTCCTGTACCGTGGCCGAGATTGTACATTTCTACACAAGAAACCATCATCAATTCCATTCGACTAGCTCTAACGTGCCCAAATACGAGTGGCAGTTGAACGATGCAAGTCGGGTTGGCTGGTGGGATGAAGATCAAGGTGAGCATAGCTATAGAATGTGGCGGATCTAGCGTCACCGTGCCAAGATCCAAGGGGCGATGGTCACACATGACGAGGCGGGGCGGCTGATAATAGGAGAAAGAAAGGGCAATGAAGTAGGGTTGACAAGGATGGGTGAAGGCGGCACTCAGTGACGGGATGTGGGGTAGATCGAGTCTAAGCTAGAGCATGAATAAGAGGAGCGGGGGAGTTAGAAAATTAGTGTGGGGAGTATATTTGAGAATGTTGTTGAGCCTAGTGGACCATATTAGCTACGAGGTGATTATAAGATAAGGCTCGTCTCAAACGTTTTAATTATGGAATGTCTCCGATGTTTGTATATCGGTGGAGTTAAAAAAAGACATGTGCCAGATGCTTGCATATCCTCGGGTAGGACCTATAAGAGACGGTTTTCCTAGCATGCCTGGACCTATCTCGAAACATATAGCTCCTTTTGTAGGAGTGTTGAAATGATAGTTATTTGTTTTCTAAAACTAAAATTGCGAATAAAAAGTAGCTTCATTACACTCAAACAAGACGGTGATCTCCGTGAACCGCAGAATTGAGTGACAAAAAATAGCAAAAAATATCATACAAAATCAACGAAAATGCGAATAGCAAACATAAGATCCCGTGGCACGAGAAAACCAAAGGAATGGTCATTTGAATGGCACGCAAGAAAACACATACTCATTGCTATACGAATGACTATAAAAAAAAGAATTGTACTACTACATCTGTAAACAAATGTAAATGGCCACTACTTAAACAAATGTAAGATGTTTTATATTTATTTAGTAGTGACCTAAAACGTCTTATAAATGTTGGATCCTTATATATGCAAGGCATATACCAAAACCGATGTGTAGTGATTTGGGTGGCACCATTCCTTTTACCCCCAAAACTATTACTTGTAAAAAATTATAAGAAAAATTAGTATAATTCTACATGAGTCTTATCAAATTCCTGCAAATGGCCTTAGAAATTACTAAACCACTTCAACCAAAAACCATCATCTAACACTCCTCTCAAATGCAAAAAAAAGAAAGAAAGAGAAAGGAAAAGAGCATCAAGAAAAAATCCAATGGGGAAATAAAGCGTCCTCTGCGGCCGCAAGGGGTACCCAATAGACGCACACCCAACTCGTTTAAAGCCGGCGAGGAAGCCCAGGAACCGCCGCCCACTCCTCCACTTCCCACCTCCCACCTCCGAAACCACCCAACCATCTTCCTCCCCTTGGGAGCCCGATCGACGAGCTCCGGTAACGGCGCAAGCGCTGGTCGTCGTCGTCTCCGGCCGGCGACGATGGCGGCTGCACGGGCGCACGTGGAGAGGCTCCGGCGGGAGCGGTACTACATCGGGCGCGGCGAGCAGAACCCGCTGGCGGAGGACATGCACCAGGCGGTGAACTACCTGAGCCAGGAGCTCTACTCCAAGGACGTCCACTTCCTCATGGAGCTCGTCCAGGTGACCCTGCTTTCTTGCTTTCTTCTTCCTTCGGCACTCTGTTTTTGTACTACTGTACAATGCTACTATGCTACTGGTACAAAAAAAAGTCTTCAGAGTGTGGATTCTGTTATGCGTGCACAGATTAGTGTGGATTTTATTTCCATGCATTTTCAAGAAAGCGTACGGATTTTTTAATTCCTAAAAATGCTTTCACAGATTATTTTTATGTGCATTTGGTTCATCTTGTGCTCCTCGCCTATAAAAATCCACAGTTCTGGTTAATTTGATTATTATACCCCCCCCCCCTCCCCCACTGAACTTTCCGGCTATTTTTTCATTTACAACTTCATGTTTTATTATTTGTGCAGAAACCCGGTCATTTTTTCCCGCAAAAATAATAAAAAATAATCCTGCTATTTTCCCTGTATTTTATCAATTTTCCGTATCTCTGTACCTTCCTTCTTTCTCCAATACGAAGCAACAAATTCTTTTTTTTTTCAGTTCGAAAAGGCAGCAATATTTTATTAATGCAGAGTAATTTCCTTTACTTTTCTAAGCACTGTTTAGTGAAAGTGACTGTTGGTTTTTCTGCTCACCGCAGTTTCCTCTGAGCTCATTTGATGTCAAGTAGGGCCTACCCTTCAGTTGCATAGTATAGCTAGGATAAATTGATAAAGATGTTTTCCTTGGGATTAGGCACTGTGGCAGCACAAAACCCACATTAACTCTGAGCCTATAAACTTGCATTTTTTGTGTTTACTTTGCATTTTCGGTTTTCACACCACAGTACATTTATTCAACTCGTATTTAGCTTCTTCTATTTTTGGCGGGGGGACTTGTATTTGGCTTTATGTTCTCCAAAAAATGGAGGGCTAAATGATCTCGTATTTGTATTTATAAAGTAACTGTTTTAGGAAAACTACTACAGTAAAGAAAATTAAAAAAGGACCAAATGCAGATCCAGTGTAACCATTTTCTGTTTTACGGAAAATAGAGATCTCCTTTATTTCTTTTCCACAATAAGAAACTATTGCAGATCCGATGTAAACATTGTAGCTTTAGCCTTGAGAACATTTTCAGTTTGCCTATAGCCTCCATGCTCTCTTGCAATTTACCTGTTTGATGTGATAACTTGATACAATTTTGCCGTCAAGACTGTTGAAATAACTGTGACTCTGCCAAACTTGTGTGTTGCTATATGGGCTTGTTTTCTCAAATCTCATTAACGTTTTGGTATATATATGTTGCATTTCAGATTAATGCACTTGATTCAGCTCTATTTGCTCAATATCACATTCATGTTAACATTTTATTCCTCAATAACTAGAACGCTGAAGACAATGAGTACCCTGATGGAGTAGCACCATCATTGGAGTTTCTGGTAACATCAACTGACATCACTGGATCTGGTGCATCGTCAACTTTACTCATTTTCAACAATGAGAAGGGCTTTTCTCCATCGAATATTCAGTCTATTTGTGGCGTGGGGAAGTCGACCAAGAAGGGAAACAGGGACAAGGGATACATTGGAGAGAAAGGTGAATCTTTGGAGCTCATGAATCCTTTTCTGTTCACTTGGCCAATTTTAAGCATTTTACCTTTTAATGTTAGAACTTCAATTTTGTTAGCGCGTCACTGGTTGGAACTTTCCCTGTCAAACGTTACAATGGCTGCTATATATCAAATGACATATACGATGGGCAGAATTTTATTTAGCACTTAATTTAGTGCTTAGTTAGAATGGTGATGGAGCAAATATTCTCATAATGTATATGTATTTTGCAAAACAAATTGGGTGCAGCATGCACAGTATTGCTTGAGATGATTTGTGGTGCAAGATATCATGCGTTCATTTCCTGACACTCAGAAACAGAGATGTGTGCATGTTTTGAAATATTAGTGTAAGAAAATAGTACTGACTACAAAATATTACCACTGGCCTTTTAAGGTCCATTGTATCTAGAAGTAAGACTTGTTATTTATCATGTATATTACTACATCAAATCTTCTTGATGTTAAGTTATCACTTCTGTATTTCACTATTGTCTCGAAAGTGTGTGGATCTATTTCTTTCTTAGCCTTTCTAGGTAAGTTTAGTTTTTGACAGGCTCCTAAAAATCTGCCTTTGCATGGCAAATTCATGCACATGGCACATCAACTTTATTACCAATTTCCCCCCTCCTGTAGTATGTTTCTGATTGAGAAACATTACTCTTCATCAATAGCTTGTAATATTGAAACTCACAATTTTTCCCTTAAAGAGTTAGTCTGTGGTTATGTACATGCTTAACGTATATGTTCCCCTTATATTGAAACTCAAAATTTGTAATATCAATGTCTCTTTTCATATAGGTATTGGATTCAAAAGTGTGTTCCTGATATCAAGCCAGCCCCATATATTCAGTAATGGGTATCAAATCAAGTTTAATGAGAAGCCGTGTCCAGAATGCAATATTGGATACATTGTCCCGGAGTGGGTTGAGTCCAGGCCTAGCCTTTCAGATATCAAACAGATATATGGGTCTACCAGAGACCTTCCAACGACCTGTATCGTCCTGCCTTTGAAGGATGAGAAGGTCACTGCGGTGAAGCAGCAGCTTTCGAGCTTGCATCCAGAAATGCTACTGTTTCTGTCAAAGATCAGGCGGCTCTCTGTCCGTGAAGATAACGGCAACGCTAGAGGCAGCACTGTTAGTGAGATTGCGATATCGAGTGAGAAGAACTTTGAAGTGAGGAAGAACATGCACGCAGAGTCTTACACGGTCTTTTTATCTGCTCAAGAGAATGAGAGTGAAGCAGAGTGCGGGTACCATATGTGGAGGCAGAGGTTCCCTGTCAAGGCAGAGAACAGGGTGGAGAAGCGTACTGAAATCGATGAGTGGGTCATCACCCTAGCCTTCCCTCTTAAGGAGCGACTATCCCGTGGGAAGCAGCTATCCCCTGGCGTATATGCTTTCCTTCCCACGGAGATGGTGACGAACTTCCCCTTCATCATTCAGGCTGACTTCCTCCTTGCATCATCAAGAGAGGCGATACTGTTTGATAGTCCATGGAACAAGGGAATTCTGGAGTGTATCCCAAGTGCATTCATGAATGCCTTTGTAGCACTTGTCAAGTCCAGAACAGATGCACCAGCAATGACTATTCCGTCGATGTTCCATTACCTGCCAGTCAGTCCTTCGCTGATCCCTTTACTTGAGCCTGTTAGGTCTGGCATCAAAGAGAAGGTTCTCGTCGAGGATATAGTTCCATGTGAGTCTCACACTCCACAGAAGATGTTTTGCAAGCCTTGCGAGGTTGCGCGGCTCAAACCAGCATTTTGGGATATCCTTGTCAAGGCGAGAGAATCTGGAGTGGACCTTAAGAACCTGTCAACCCATGGAACCTACATTCTCAGCTCTCACTTCGACAAGAGTGCATACAACAGTGTTCTTACATTTCTGGATGTCAAAAACGTGAGCCATGAATGGTATGCAAACTGCATTCAGGGGTCTAATCTTGTCAGCAATGTAGATGAACATCTTTATCTGGAACTTTTATGTTTTGTCGCAGACAGTTGGCAAAACTTTTCTGGTACAAAGATGATGCAAATTCCTCTGCTGAAGTATGTTGACAGGAACAAAAATGTCTCTGTCTGGAGCATATCCAGAGCTAGTCAGTGGAGTGATAGATTGTGCATTGCATCTGATGGGAAGTGGATGTCGTGGCTTATCAGCTGGAACCAGGAGTTTCCATCTTCTAACCGGCTTTTTGTGTCTCCCAGTACACAAACAGCTCTGCAAGGTTTCCCGCAGAAGGAAAAAGTGACATACTGGCTTCAAAGCCATGCAAAAGTGGAGGTTGTATCTGTATACAGTTTCGGGAATATTGTGGTTAAGTCCTTGAACTGTGATAAAAGGCCTGCCATTGCTTTTTCTCACTTTCTGTACCATTCATCCAGTAAGAATTACATGGAGAGCTACCAGTTAGCAGAGCTGTGTCGTATCATGCCAGTAATTGACAACTATGGCAATGCGGTCACGGAAAGGCAAAGCATTCTAGTTCCTGCAAATGGTAGTAAATGGGTTGGACTGATGGGCACAAACCCATGGAGGAATGAGAAATACATCGAACTGTCAGCAGATTACAAGTCAGCAGGTCATTTCGCCGGGAACTACACACCTCAAGATCAGATCTTGGATTTTCTCAAGACAAAGATGCAGGCCTCAGATGTGCCATTCATACACCCTCCAAATGCAAGTTTCCCTACAGTCTCATCACCTCTGACTGTGGACAATGCAATCTTGCTACTGCAATGGATACGAAATTTGAAATCAAAAGGTGTACAATTACCAGCTAGTTTCTTGGCTTGTGTGAAAGGAGGAAGTTGGCTGAAGACATCAGTCGGATACAAGCCCCCGGCTGAATCATTTATGTCCAGTTCTGAGTGGGGTAATCTCTTGCAAAACGGGTCTTCCTGTGTTGATATACCAATGATCGATCAACAGTTCTATCAATACAAAATGGATGCATACAAGGAGGAACTCAAGGTGATCGGGGTAAGATTTGAATTTGGGGAGGCATCGGCTTACATTGGCAGGCGGCTCATGTTGATGGCTGCAAGCAATATGCTGACCAGACATGTATATGAGCTGCTTCGGCTGATTCGGTTTCTTCAACAGAAGGTTCTGTCACCAAGTGAACTAGTCAACAGCGTGAAAGATGGACAATGGATGAAGAGTACTCTAGGTTACAGGTCTCCTTCATGTTGTATCATATATGATTCAGACTGGGAAGTTGCATCTCGTATCAGTACCCAGCCATTCCTTGATGTTGGATTCTATGGCGAGTCCATCCTTGACTACAAACAAGAGCTGAAGTTGCTTGGTGTCCAAGTTGGGTTTGAAAATGGTGAAAAGACCTACAAGCTTATAATTGATAATTTCAAGTTCAGTTCTTCATCTGTTACTTCTGATGCTACTGCACTAATCCTCAAGTGTATCCGGTATGCTAGCCCATGTGATGATTTCTTGAGGAAGCTCAGAGACTTGAAATGGTTGAAGACCAATGTGGGATTCCGTGCTCCTAGCGAATCTTTTCTTCTGGATTGGGAATGGGAGTGCCTTCTACAGGTGTTTGATGGAGTTCCTGTAGTTGATTGTGGGTTTTATGGGAGTAAGATCAGTCCGTATGTAGAAGAGTTGAAGAAGACAGGGTTGATCACGGGATTTGACCAGGCATCGAAGGCTATAGTAAACATTTTCAAGCAGATGGTCGAGAAGTCATCGCTTACAAAGGTGAATGTCCTGGCTCTGCTAGCATGTTATCGGCAGCTGAGATCACACAACCCAAATCCGGTTGGTCTTTTCAACTCCATGCGGAGTGAGAAATGGCTGTGCACATCACTGGGATTTAGGTCACCTTCGGAAGCAATCTTATTTGATGAAAGTTGGCAGTCTCTGTTACCCATTGCAAAATTACCTTTCATCAATGATGGTGACTCTAATGGTGGCTTAGGCAAAGAGTTACATGGTTACAAGGCTGAGCTGAAAGAACTAGGTGTTACAACAGAAGTGAAAGCCCATGGCGCTAGGTTTGTCATCAATGGTCTCATCATTCCTGCAGACACTGCAGATATTTCTGCAGCCACCGTGTTGTTGTTGCTTGGGTCTGTTAAGAGCTGCTTGGCCTGTATGGCAACATTGCCCAAGGAATTTATGAAGGAAATCACTAGCTGCAAGTGGTTGAAGACAACACTTGGATACCAATCTCCTGATGGATGCATACTCTTTGACCCAAAGCAGTCTTCCATCTGCGTAACAGATGGCCCTTTCATCGATGAATCTTTTTATGGTTCAGAGATCGCTTCATTCAAGGATGCACTGGCGGCAATCGGAGTAACTGTGGATGTTCGATGTGGGCATGGCCTTGTTGCTCAGCATCTGAGGAGCCACAAAGAAACTGCTACCATTTCCAGGATCTACTTGTACCTCAAGGAGTGCAACTGGGAGCCTGAGAAGAAGAACAAAGAGGGCACTGACTGGATTTGGATACCAAATGAAAGGGGAAGTGGAGAATGGGTCAGCCCGCTGAGCTGTGTTCTTCATGATCAGAACAACCTCTTCAGCCAGCAGCTGCATGTCCTAGACAGATACTATGATGACAGGAAGCTGCTGGACTTCTTCTCATCAGTTTTCAGCGTGAGGCATGGCCCTGGTGCCGAAGACCATTGCAAGCTCTGGAGCGCATGGGAGAGCTCCGGCGGTGAGATATCCGTAACCAATTGCTCTGCCTTCTGGCAATTCATCGCAAGGAACTGGAGCAAGAACACGGAGAAGCTTCTCTCTGGCTGCGTGAAGGTCCCGGTTTGCACTGATGGGAAGATCATTTTGTCGCCGAAGGAGGACGCGTTCATTCCCGACGATCTGCTACTCAAGGATCTGTTCGACAGTCTTCCTCGACAATCCATTTTCATATGGTATCCTCCTTCGGTCTCTCGGGCAAGGCTTAACAATATATATGGCAGCATTGGTGTTCAGGCAGTATCCAAAGCTATCGAGAAGAGCGATTCTTTTGTCACCTTGGGCCAGGATGGCGGTTGTAAAACGGTTGCTAACCAGCATGAGGTTATCAGTGTTGGTCTGCTCCAGATAGTCCTTGCTTTCCTTGCTGATCCGGCTCTTGACATTGCTTCCAAAGAGCGGCACACCATGGTCTCTCGCCTGCTGAATGTGAGCGTCCTGGAGACAACGAAGCCGATCACGGTGGGGTACCGCGTGAAGCTGTCCTCTGGAGAGGTTGTGGACGTGGAGGCCAGCCGGATGATCAGGTGGGAGAGGGAGAACTCAAAGCTGTATGTTCAGCAAAGCAATGGTGCTGGTGCTGGTGCTGCAGCTGGTTACAAAGAGAAGATTGAGTTTGCGACGAACTTTGCTGACGAGATAGCCCGAGGACTGCTCTTCGAGACGCCGGACCGGATCCCTTCGCTTGCTGAACTCGTGAAGGTCGGCAGCCTGGTGGACTTCCAGGACGATGCTGTCAAGTACCTGCTGAAGTCCAAGAATCTGCAGCTGTTCCCTGAAGACGAGGCGTTCCTGAACGCTGCATCACTAGGTCTGTCCCTCCCTGACAAACTCAGAGAGTTCATCTCACTATAGCAACGTCTGAATTTTTCCCTAGTGATGATGCCACTGTATACCACTCTAATCTTCTTCTTTATGGACAATATAGGTGGCAGCAAGAAATGCTAGGGGTCTTTGGATTTCGGATGCTCCGTCGCGTTCCTCCGTGCAGAATAAATGGTGAGGACAATTTTTTTGATTCTTTTGGGCTTGGGCATGCAGGATGCTGTTCATATGCTGCAATGGAGCCTGATATTTGTCAATTTTTCCTTGATACAGGCTGTTGATGGCCGCAGTGGCAGGGAGAGCTTTGGTGGTGCCGCGTATCTCAAGGCAATTTGTTGCTTTCAGTTCAGCACTAAACTAGCTGCTGTTTTGCTTGTTTTCGTAGTACCTTGTGTGGATCTCTGTCCTGTGCCAGAATCTGTTTAATTAAGTGTCTGAGACGTCTTAATGCTGTTGGAACTGATACTAGTTAGTTATGCTGTCTCTGGTTATCTTTGCATTAGTATCTGGTGTCTGGGACGAATGCTGCATGCACAGTTCTTGTTGGTTAAGTTTATGGGAATCTTGTTGGTCCGCCTTTTCGAACCCTGGGTACTTGCTACCAGGTTGCTGATAACTGCGCTGCGAATGTGGGAAAATCGACTAGCTCCGTTCAGCCGGTGCACTTTGATTTACTGAATTATGGCGTTAGTTTTCATTGAACAGTTCATTCGGGAAGTCAGGGTTACCTCTGAAGATCCAAGTAGTTGCTTAGTAGTTGCAGAGTGAGAAGATGAATTGATCATGCTCACGGCCATTTGCTTGTGAGCAGTGCCTTCAACTTCGGAAAAGCAGGACGATGTATCAGTTTCCGCACAAAAATTTGAACAATCTGTCAGGAATAAATAACTGACGGACCTTGATCAAAATCCTTTCAGTTTGCTGACGCTGTGTCGGCCAGGAAAATAAACTTGGCGTCAAGTTTGTTTGAATTTGCTGATGCAGTGTCAGCTGTCTCACGTGCATGAAGAAAACATGGAGCTCTGACAGTCGATTACTGACCATCGAGCCTGTGGATGCTGAGAACAGAATAGACAGATCATCATTACTTTCTGGAGTGTGCAACGGGGCAAGAAACAACTGTGCCGTGTGGAGTGGCAAGCAAAAAATGTTGACTCGCTGTTGGGACAAATTGGACCGGCTTTCCACCGTGGCAACTCAGGCGATTAGTAAAATTTATTTAGTCTACAAAACTGTCCTTACAATAAGAATCTTCTGCTCCAGCACTTTGCTAGCAGGGTGCCTCACGCTACTTCATTAAAAAGTGCAAGGAAATTACACTGGTAAGGCCATCACTATCTCTGGATAATCAGTCAGTAGGACTCTTATCTCTCTGTCTCTCTCTCACAAACACACACACACACACACACACGCGCGCGCATGGACATTGAAAGTTATGCTAATTAAGTACAGATTACTGTTAGCACTCACATTATGTAATGCCCAAGACCTAGACTAATTAGGGAACTGCATATAAAACGGAGAATTGAAAGTTAGACTAATTAAGTACAGATTACTGTTAGCACTCATTATGTGCACCTCCTTCATCATGTTGGTAGGAGTAGCGACAGTTGTTGCCAGGAGGGTGGCTTCAGACTCATTGATGTATTACTTTGTAAGGCTTTGTTGAATAATTAATAAAGAATGGCTGTGTGCATCGCTTGATGCAGAGGTCGGGGGTTATCCTCCTTTTCGAGAAAAAAGTACAGATTACCATTAGCACTCACATGAAACAGAGAATTTTCGTTTCAGGTATCAAAAGAACATCAATATTCACTGACAATTAGGGAACATCAATATATATATTCATTGCTGTTAATAAAGCTAAAGGTGCTCAATAAAGAGTTGCATTCATAGTTTCGGTCGGTTATTGCCGTGTACTGGAATTGCATGTCTTTTTCGTTTATCTGGGGAGGCTAATAAAAGATGAAACAGAAAAACCAAAACTAAATCTATAAGGCAAGTGTTGCTGTACTACAGTTTAAGAATGTTTTTACTGCCGTGCGTGAGTATTCTAAGTGTGAACTGAAAGTGACTGGCATCCATCTCTTCATGCTGCGCGGCCTGTCTTAGTTGAGATACTAATCCAGCATTAAACTAATCGCGGCAGCTTTCAAACAGAGAATGAACTAAAAGTGATTATTAAAGGAAGAACAAGACCCTTCAGACCTGTGGGCCTCATCCAGTCGCTCCAGGTAGCATATAAGTACATCTCTCGGCCGGTGATTGTCTTCACCTCAGCTCAGCAGCTTCATCCCAAGAAGCCATTCACTACTGCACAAGCTAGGCTTTTTGAGATTACTTACAATGGAGGGCATAAATGATGTCAACATGGACAAATCAGATGAGATCATCATGCCGGGGTTCCGGTTCCATCCTACCGATGAAGAGCTCGTTAGTTTCTACCTCAAGAAGAAGATCCAGCAAAAGCCTATCTCTATTGAGCTCATCAGGCAGCTGGACATCTACAAGTTTGACCCGTGGGACCTCCCAAGTAAGCTTGCATCTTCTTACCTCTCCTTGTTATACATCTTTTTTTTTTCTCTCTTTAACAGATTGGAACGCAATTGACTTTTGAGAATTCCATAGATTGTACTAGTTTCTTCCAAGGGGAGCTAGGAATTAGGATGCTGATTCAACATAAGTTGGTTTCACCTTAATCTTTAGTTAAATAAGTCCTGGGCTCATCCGTTCACTGGAGGTTCAGTTGAACGAAATCAGTAGTAGTATTGACCATCGTCTCATCACAAGCTAACCTACAGTACATAGATGGGTTACTCACCTTACTGCTGCAAAGTCTAACTTCCATGTCCCTTCTCAACGACAGAGCTTGCGAGCACCGGTGAGACAGACTGGTACTTCTACTGCCCGAGGGACCGGAAATATCGCAACAGCGCGAGGCCAAACCGAGTCACAGCAGCTGGGTTCTGGAAAGCCACAGGAACAGACAGGCCGATCTACTCCTCCGAAGGCACCAGGTGCATAGGCCTGAAGAAGTCCCTTGTCTTCTACAGAGGCAGGGCAGCAAGAGGGATCAAAACTGACTGGATGATGCATGAGTTCAGGCTTCCTTCGCTCACCGATCCATCACTTCCCAAGAGACCAATCGATAAGAACATCCCGCTCAACGTAAGCATTTCAATTCATAATATGTAGTTACAGAGCTAAATTCAAATGTTATGCCAAATTCTTAAGGTCACTTTTCTGTTGCCCAAAACAGGACTCTTGGACCATATGTAAGATCTTCAAGAAGACCAGTTCGATGGAACAGCAAATGGCGCTGTCTCACACTTGGGGCCCTCCATTGCCTGGGACAACTGAGCAAGATCTCTTCTCTGCAATGCAACCGGTGCAAGCTTCACATTTTGCTTCGGAGAGCTCCTCCCGCTCATTGCATGTTGCAGAGGCACCAGCAAGTCAGTTCAACAGCAAACATGGGTTCCAGGGACAGCAGCAGCTTCAGAAACCCAGCAACACACAGGATGGCTCTTCATGCAAGGTCATAAGCTTTAACTGCAATCCATCTCTGGAACTGGAAGGTCCCACCATCTTGCCATTCCAAACACAGCCATCACAGAAGCCCGAGCACACTGCACCGCCGCTCTTCAACATGCAGTTTGGTCAGCCTGAGCAGCAGATCACTGGATTTCTGGCTGATTCTTCTGCAGATGTAAATGCCGGCATGAGCTGCAGGAACCAAGAGTCATCCACAATGAAGCATGGCAATACTTTCAGTATGAACAATGAGTTGGAGGCTCCAGGGAAACTCACTTTCCCATTCGATTTAGGAGCAGACTCTTCAGATGACTGGAAGTGCAACATGCCTTGGGAATCCTTTCTTAGCCCAACTGTCCCTGCTGAGATGCCACAGTACTAGATACCTTGCCCTACACAGAGTCCGAGGTTGTGCGCCACCTTCATCTGTTAGCATTTCTGTTAGCAAAGATAGGCAGCAGCTATTGTTTGTTCAGTTTTGAGTTAGATGCACTGTACATAGTGAGTTATATATACACTTGTTAACAGCAGAGCTAACAGAGAGAAGATGGGTGTATTGTGTATATCAGTATATATTTTAAGCTGAGTGCTATTGTGATGCTGTACTTTGTGTGGAGAGTAATGAACATATATAGAAGTTACAACATGGATGGGAAGCTTCACAAACTTGCAATGGATTGACAAACTCTGAAACTGATTTTTTATCTGAACTTTGAACAGAGATGATCCTGTTTCTGAATTCATGTCTTCATTACCCTTATCAAACACGATCTCTTTCCTTTAAACCGCAATTACCAACTAAGAATATTCGCAGCCAATAAATGGTCACACAAAGCAGAAAATCATACGAACTTACAGTTCTAAGTTGACCGCCAAGGTCAATCTACCCGATAAATGCAATGAAAGATGGATTTTATTTGTAAATGACAAGTTAAATTAAGCTCAACATGATAACTATTACACTAGGAGACAAAATAAACAGTATGAATTGTTGGAAGGAAAATAAATCACAACTCGAGAATGATCATCATTTGTAGTACCTGAACTTCAATAGCAAAGGTCTTGGATTCATAAGTAACAACAGCTACAGCAAGCCCAGCCAGTATTTCGAAATCAGAGGCATGCTCAGTTAAGAACATCTCAGTAAGATTCAGAACAATTTGCACACCAAATTCTGACATTTCAAATACACCATCTGACAAAAAAAGCAGCCATAAGTGGCATATACGTATTTGCCTTGGGGTCAGTTTGTGGCCACCGGCCGGCGCCTCCCCCCACTTCCTCTCTTCGGCTCCCTCCCCTTCCTCCTGCTATCTGGTCGCCGGCTCTCGTCTCCGGCGCCATCAGACTAATCCGTCGAGCGTCGACCGCGGTAGCCCGACGGCGGCCGATCGGGGATGGATAGGTGGCTTCGAGGGAGGAGCTAGAACGGCGACAACTAGCGACGGAGGATCCCAGCCGGCCGGCGACGTATCTCCGATCTCCGATATGGTGGG